GGTTCTTATGGGGGGGTGCCACCTGTTGAAATCCCTTACCTTAATGCATACTAACCTGATCCTCTGTTAGAATAGCCAAAATCCCTCTAATTCGCAGATATGAGATCGAAATTATCAATTCCCAACTTGACTCTCACTGGGATTAAACATGACAATAGGTCTGCTCTGATTTCATCATCATTTAAAAAAATCATCTATTATTTTTCACTTTATGTTTCTGTGTGGGAGCAAACTGTTGAAATCCATACTTAATGTATACTAAGCTGATCTTCTGTATATTAAGATAATTGAAAATGAATCTTGATGTGAATGGAAGGGGAGAGGGAGTGGGAAAGGGGAGGGTTGTGGGTGGGAGGGACGGTATGGGGGGAAAGCCATTGTAATCCATAAGTCGTACTTTGGAAATTTATATGCATTAAATAAAAGTTTAAAAAAAAAAAACTAGAAAATAAAAAAAAAACATAAATTGAATAATATTTTGATTAACATAATACCACTTCAACATGAATTAGTATAACTATTATTACTGCAATAAATTACAGTCTTTTTATACTAAGTCTTTAAAATTCAAGGAGTATTTTATACAAGAAGTCTTCAGAAACTTCATGGAAATGAAGAGTATGAGAAACCACACATGCATTTCAAATTTTTTAATTTTTTTTGCATCAAAATAAATTATTAATTCACTTTTCCATGTACTTTGGGAGTATCCTCATACCTACTGTGCACCTCACTTCAAAATAATACAAATGTAGTCTTACTGAAACAATAATTATTTTTAACAAAATATTTTTTAATGTTCCATTTCCATCTATGTTTAATTAAACTAAACTAAACTAAAATTAAATTCCTCAGCCACATTAGATATATTTCAAACACTTGGTAGCTCTATGTGCCTCTTGGCTACCATAACGGGTAGGACAGCTCTAGGTGACCTCTTAAATTTTACCCTTCCTTCTTCCTAAGATATATATTGTTATTAAAATAATTATCCTCAACCTCAATCTTCATTTAACATTTTCCAGAGGCTTCCTGATCAAATTATTCTATCAAATTTGAATCCAGTCATTCAACATCCTCTAACGAAGTGTGATCTTGTATTTCTTGAATTGATAGCGTCCACCTGTCCATGCAAACTAATATGGACATATTGTCTCTTTTCCTTCATCTGTGCCTTATTCCCCCATGGGCACCTGCTTCTTTCTCTGTAATGAGTGTTGGCAGCCACATGAAGTTTACCACAATTGGAAGTATTCCTATGAACTTTGTGGCGTAGTGATGACTCCTCTACCTAGAGCCTCTTTGCTCTCGATTTGTAACATACTGTATTGTATAGTTATTTAAACTTATTTTCATTGTGAAAATACTTTATGCTTGCATTAGGCCAGACTTTCATACATTTTCATCAGGGCTCTTAACCTATGTTAAGAAATGCATTTAAACTTGTACACCAATATAAAACTTAATGCGGTGTATGTGTGGCTTATGTTGAGAAGAACATCAACATATAGAAGGGTACATCAAAGAATGAAATTAAAAGAGAATGCACATTTTCCTTGAACTTTTTGAAGAGTTTTGTTCATATGTTGCCTCAGTTTGAAAAAGCAGTTTGGACCACATCAGCTAAAGGCATTATTGGATTACAGATGAAAATCAAGGAACAGAACCAGATCAGTTAAGGTATAGCAAGAAAGCTTGAGTTCTAGCCTAGACAGTGATTCCGCCAGCAGACAGAAAACTTGAGGTTCACGTGTAGCAGAACAAGTTTTCCAAAAGCTTGATAAGGAGAAAGACTACAACTATACTCACATAGATGGTAGGGGACTGTGCATGTGACGGGGTAGGGATCAACTAAACATTTAAACAAAAATTAGTGAAGCAATATTGAGCTTAATTATACACCCTGTGGGTGAAAGGCAACCGAGATGTAAGATTTCAAAGCACACAGAAAAATCACGAAGATGAACAAAATAAAGAAACTAGGAAAATGTAGATGTGGGGCAGCTAATTCAGGAAAACTTGCTTCTAATCCATAGGGCTGATTTCATGGTTATGTGATCTATGCATCTGCCCAGAGCTGTGTGCTCAGAACCACGCTTGATGTCAATATCTTGAAAATCTCCTCAGGGATTCTGTCTTTGAACTTGTGTTTTGTAGGTGAAGTCCAACGGAACAATGGAGCATGCCTGTGAGCATAGATACTGCATATATGCAATATATTTGTCCCTGGCTTATTGCTGACCCATTTTCATGCATAATTCTGGTAACCTCACAATTTATGAGATTTCAGTGAGATTCAAAACAAGTACAAGGTGAGTGTGTTATATCCTCAATTGAATAAGAAGGAGCACAGACATCCCTAAGAGACCAGGTGGTCCATTTTAAGTTCCTTCAAATGCAAAAATAAAGCAATAAAATTTTAAGAAACACAAATGACCAAAGAACACAATTATATCCTTTATTACTCATGCTACCTGCCTGTATTAGCTAATCAATTAGGCTAACAGTGACAGAAAAAACGGGGAAAGGCAAAGCAATCCATACTTCCCTTTCCTTTCAGCCCATCCATCCTTACCAGTAAGCCAAAAGTAGAATGTTCAAAGAATATGTACATATCAAAATATAAAATAAAAATAATGGAGTTACTTTTGTGTAGCAATTCCACTGTTTTAGTAAGAACAAAATCCAGATGCATAATATAAACTGTGCACCTTTCGTGATTCTATGTAAGAGTTAAATAGTATCAGTATAAGGGTAAATATTAAAATTTATGATAATAATTCTAAATTTTAATTTTTTTCTGCTTAGAATGACATTAAACAGCAAATTTTAGAAAATGACCCCTTTCTGCTTTTTGAATAGGACATTCACATTTTTATTTTGCAGTGGGTCCATAAATTGTGAAATTAGTAATGTCCACAGCATTGTAAAATTCTAAATGATGGCACCTCAGGGCTCCATGTAAGAGAAAATAAGTGCCTGAAACTATGTGGCTGAAAAATACTCCTTGTTGGCCCCATCATCTCTTCAGCTCACTTCCTACACAACATTTCTATACCCAAAGCCTACAACTATATTCTGCACATATGAGATGCTTAGCAAATATTTGTACATAGCTTCCCACAATAACATTCAAGGAAGTTGTAATCTTTCTTTACTTTCCTCTCTCAAACATGATTAACCATGGGGGGTGGGGTGGGGATAATATGTGAAAAGTTTGGGAGTTAGAATCATTCACTCTATAAACTTAAGCAAGTTGATTAACTTTTCTGAGTCATTTTCCTTCCCAACTTGTAAATAGAGATTATGCAGGCACATTGAAGATCTAATAGAATCCTGCAGCTTTCTGACAAACCACAGAAAGGAATATCTGAAATTTTACACATAACAAAAGCAAAAATATATATTTCTGTTTCTTTTTTAAAAGATTTTATTTCTTTGGAAGGCAGAATTACAGAGAGAGGAGAGACCGAGAGAGAAGCAGGGAGGGAGAGAGGGAGGGAGAGAGAATCTTTCATCTGTTGGTTCACTCCCCAAATGGCTACAACAAGTGGATCTGGGCCAGGTCAAAGCCAGAAGCCTGGAACTCCATCCTAGTCTACCACTTGGGTGGCAGGGGCAAAGGAGTTGGGTCATCTTCTGTTGCTTTTACAGGAACATTTATTTACCAGGAGCTGGAAGGGAAATGGAGCAACCAGAGCTTGAGCCAGAGCTCATATGGTATGCCAGCATCACAGGAGGCCATTTAACCCACTGTGCTACAATGCCACCCCCTGTATTTTTACTTCTTATGATTACCTGGCTTTCTCTATTGGTTATCAATGTCAAGAATTTCCATAATTGAAGGCAAAGAAAAGAATCCTAGTTCAAGATTAAAGGTTTAAATGTTGGAAGTGAAGGGAATATTTAGCAGAACTAAATACACACTCATTTATTCAATCAACCATGGAAAAAAATAAATATACAGCTCGAGTTCTGGAACTACTAATTCTAACATTAAAGATGTTAACTGGGAATGCAAACTCTAGAGAAAGTTCAAAAATCATGACAGGGGAGCAGGCGCTGTGGCGCCGTGAGTTAAGGCTGCAGCCTGCAGCGCTAGCATCCCATATGGGCACTGGTTCGAGTCCTAGCTGCTCCTCTTCTGATCCAGCTCTTTGCTATGGCCTGGGAAAGCTGTAGAAGATGGCCCAACTCCTAGGGCCACTGCACCCACATGGGAGACTTGGAGGAGGCTCCTGGTTCCTGGCTTCATATTGGCTCAGCTCTGGCCATTGAGGTCATTTGGGGGAGTGAACCAGTGGAATGGAAGACCCCTCTCTTTCTCTGCCTCTCCTTCTCTCTGTGTGTATCTCTGACTTTCAAATAAATAAAATAATTCTTTAAAACATAGACATGGTGTTAGAAATATCAAAGAGTAGCCATAGATTAGACAGATATTATAGAAAATTCTTACTATTTCAAAGAAAATAATTTTCTTCTTGCTTTTCTTGGAATGGGTAAACAAATGACATCTAATTTTAGCTTATATTTCAAAGTCCTGAAACAGATTATTAAAAATATTTGAAAAAGGCTGAGATTCCACATGTGAGAATTGGGGTAACCATACTTGTCCCTTTCCCTGAACATTACACATAAATCAATTATAGACTCTGAAAGGTGGAAAGAACACAAACCAGCTAGAGACCTCAGGGCCTGAGGAACAACATGACGGTGAGTATGTTGGTTTTATTTTTTTTTTTTCTTTTTGATCTCAGATATACCATGAAATGAAATGAAATGAAAGCAAATGCTAGAAACCCACAAACACCAATGACAGCAGAATGAAAAAAAAAAAAAAAATCCTGTTCTTAGTCAGGAGACAGGCAGAATAGCAAGATGGTCAACTCTATGTAATGACTACTGCTACCCAACCCAAATATCTTTCCCTCTCCCTCTCCCTCTCCCTCTCCCTCTCCCTCTCCCTCTCCCTCTCCCTCTCCCTCTCCCTCTCCCTCTCCCTCTCCCTCTCCCTCTCCTTCTCCCTCTCCCTCTTCCTTTCTCTCTTCCTTTCTCTCTAAAACACAAACCACACACACACACACACACACACGCACACACACTGTAGACCATTCCCAATGCCTGCCAGAAAAGTCTTACTGGGAGCCTGGACATACACTCTTGCCAAGCTGTAATGGGTGCTGCCCCAACACTCTCTCTGGTGGGGCCAGAAGACACCAAGAAGAAAGATGAGAATTTCATCTCCACCAGATAGTACCAAAGCCTGGAAACCACCTTAACATCCTGGACTTCATTTTCATCTCCCAACTCCCACTGTGGTGATGTCCCTATAGGAGAACAAGGACTTTCATCATCACACAGTGATACCAAGATCAGTCTTCATTATCTCTTTCAAATATTAGTGGAAGCCATTAGGCACATTAGGAATTTGTGTTTGATGTCCTTCCCAAAAGGAAAAAAATCTTTTTACTTTAGACTTCAAGTGTCTGTGGACATAGAGACAGACTATGCTGTATTTCTTCAATTCTCAATGCTATGAAATATTGGCTCATGATAGTGAGCAGTCCCAGAGATTCCCAATGCAGCAACGTCCTCTGTGTGGGTCTCCAGAAGCTTCTAGCAGAAGGCAATGTCTGAGAATATGGTGACAAAAATCTACTACACTTTTAACTTCTGTCTTTCTGCTTTCATCTTAAATGATAAATGGAAACTCACAGTAATTTTCCTCCTGTGCATGGGCCAGGCAGCTGATGTACCTCTGCTGGATTCTGTAGGGTCTTCCCAGTATATATGATACAGAGGTAATGACTCAGCCAGTGACCGAGGCAGTGACTCCCAGATGGGAACAGGTGGTGCAAAGAGATCCACAGTCTCATAACAAAATAAGTGCTCATCAAAATCAAAATATCCTGTCATACTAAAAATCAGGAAGCCCTAAACATATAGAAAAAAGGAAAAATGTAAATAAGATGGTAGATATGTCAGAATTATCTACTAAAGATGTGAAAACATCCATGAAAAAAAAAAAAAGACTGAGAAACCCAAATAAACTCACACTAAGACACATCATAGTCAAACTTCTGAAAAGTCAAGAGAAAGAAAAACATTGAGAAGCAATGTTGTGAAAGAGCACCTTACCGACAGCAGAAAACAATGTGAAGGACAACTGCTTTCTTGTCGAAGACGGAGCTCAGGAAAGGGGAGGAATTTTTTTTTACAGTAGGAAGAAAAGACTTGTGAATGTTAAATGCTATACTCAGCTAGAATATTCTTCAGGAAGGAAGGAAAGATGAAGATATGCTCTCAGGGGCTGAGGGATGGGGCAGCAGGCATTTATCCTAGCTGTCAAGACATCCCTTATCAGAGAATCTGAGTCCAACTCCTGGCTTTAGAACCCAATGTCAGCTTTGCACCAATGCAGACCCAGGGAGGCAGCAGTGATGGCTTAAGAAACCGGATTCCTAACATCCGTTCGGGAGACCCGGATGAAGACCCTGGCTCTAGGCTTCAACCCCTTACTGGCGCCATTATAGGAATTTGAGGAAAGAACCAGTGGGTGGGGGAGCATGCTCTTCCCCTTAACCCCACAAAAAAGAAAAAAGATATACTCAGATGAAGAGAATTTGTCATTTGTGGACTTAATCTAAAATAATGGCTAAAGGGAGCTCTTAAAACAGAAAGAAAGGAGTATCGGGGAGGAAGAAGGAACACAATAAAACATGGCTAGGTTAGATAGAATTCCCTTCTCTTCTGGAGAGCTTTTTTCTCTTCTTAATTGTTTGAAAGTTAAGGTAAAAATTATAACACTGTCTGATGTGCTTCTAAAGGTGTGTAGAGGAAATGTTCAGGAGAATTACATTATAAATGGAGAAAAGTAACAGGATGTAAAGGAAGGTTTCTGCACTTCACTTGAACTGGTAAAATTAGCATACTAGGTCATTAAGATAAAGGAAAGTCTGAGAAATCATCACAGTCAAGATGAGTCTAAAGAGACACAGCAACTAAATATAATGTGGTCCCCTGGATGGGATTCTAAAATAGAAAAATGTCATTAGGTAAGAACAAAGGAAATCTGAATAAACTCTCAGGTTAAGTTAATAAAAAGTTACCACACTAGTTTGTTAATTTTTAACAAATGTAGGATATAATGTAAAATGTTAATAAGGGAACTATGTGTAGCAATATTTGGGAACTTTGTACTATCTGTTCAATTTTTATGTAAAGCTAAGCTGTTCTAAAAAATAAAGCCTTAGTGACAACACCAATTGCTCTTGAAGTTGGAAAGAAACTGGGTAACTCATGCATTGCTGATAAGGATGTAATATGTTAAAAGCCACTCTGGAAAACAGTTTGGAGGTTTCTTAAAAAATGAAAAAGCAGGTACAGTGTTGTGATGTAGCAGATTAAGCCGCTGCCTGCAACACGGGCATCCCATATGAACACCAGTTCCACTTCTGATCCAGCCCCTTGCTAATGTGCCTGGGAAAGCAACAGAGGATGGTCCAAGTACTTGGGCCCCTGAACCCATGTGAGAGACCTAGAAGAATCTCCTGGGTCTTGGCTTCAGTCTAGACCAGGCCCAGTTCTTGTGGCCACTGGGGAGTGTACTAGGGGTTGGAAAATTGATTTATCTCTCTCTTTCATTCCCTCCCTCTCCCTCTCTAACTCTGCCTTTCAAATAAATAAATAAATCTTTTTTAAAAATGAAAGAAACAACTATCATAAACTCAGCAACTGTTCTCTTAGATGTTTGTCCCCACAAAATTAAAGCTGATGTTCACATAAAAACCTATATGCAAATATTAACAGCAGTTTTATTTATAATAGGCAAAATCTGGTAACAACTTCACGGCTTTCAATGGGTGATTTATTAAACTAGAAATGAAATGCCAATACTATGGAATATTATTCAGCAATAAAAAGGAATGGATTATTGATACATCCAACAACCTGGTGAATCTGCACAGAATGATGTTGCATGATAAAATTCAACCCCCCAAAATTAAAAATGGTAGATTTCACTGATGCAACATAGTTGAAAAGAAAAAAAGAATTAGAGAAAAGGAGAATAGCTAGTGGATGCTGGCAGTTGTGGCGAAGGTGAGGGTAGGGGGAAGATGTGGTGGTTAGAAGAGCGCAAGAGTAGAGATCCTCAGGTGATGGCAAACTCCAGTACCTCAGATGTATCAGTGTCAAAGTCCTCATCGTCCTATTGCACCATGGTTCATAGGAACTCTCTTTATTGTTTCTTACAGCCGTATATGAATCTATAATTACATCAAAATAAAAAGTATAATTTGAAAAAAAAAAGTAAGTTTCTCCTCTCCTTCCAGCAAACCTTAAGCCTATAATAACATAAAATTTCAAGAAAATTTTCAGAGTAATTTGTAGTATATTAAGAGAGTAATGATTCACACTGCTTTTAAAAATAATTAAATAGGTTATGTTGTGATATATCAAGTAATTTACAGTTCAGTTTCAAAATCACCATACCTCACTGCAGATAGTGTTGTTACATCCTTTGTTTCCTGATTTTAAAAGTCATCACCCTTTAGAATACAACATAATATTCAGAATTGGAAGAGACCATAGCAGGTTACCCAGATAAAATATTTTATATAAGAGACAAGAAAACAGAAGCTAAGAGAGTTTAAAACGTGGTTAAGGTCACATGACTAATTTGAGGCAGAGCTGTCTGGGTCTCCAGTCTCTTGGTTCTTAGACCACTATTGCTGTCAAACTCACATATTATTTTTTCTCTTTCTCACAGATGATCCATAAGTGAATCTAAAAAACAACAATGCTGTGTGTATCAGAAGGAGAAAGTTGGCAGAGCTGGGCAAATATTAACATTCAGCCATAAATAGAACTATGTGGAATATGGAAATGAGCATTCAAAATTCTCATGTTAATACTAAATAGTTTTAGCCTAGTAAATAAGATGCTGGTTAAGACCTCTGTATACCATATCAGAGTACCTGGAATTATCTGACTCTAGCTTCCTGCCGATACAGACTCCAGGGGGTGGCAATGATGGATTAATTGTTTGCACTCCTGTACCTACATGCAAGACCCAGACAGAGTCCCTACTTCCCGTCTTCAGTTAGGCCCAGTCCCATCCCCTGCAACATCTGAGAAGCGAGCCAGCAGATGGGCGTGCTGTTCAGGCTCACTTGCTCTCTCTCTCCTCTCTCTCCTTCTTCTTCCTCCCCTCCACTTCTCTCTCCCTTCTTTGCACATCCTTCCTTCAAGCTGATCTCTATTACCTCATCTTCTCTCCATGCCATCTATTTCCTTTTCAAAGTCCACCCTCTTTGCTGTTCTCACCATACAACTCAAGAGGAGCACACTTCTGGATTTCTCATGAGGTACATATTTCTGCATTTCTAGAGAAGAATTTCCCTCCTTGTAATTTAAGCAAACTCCAAAATCAAATCAATAATTTGCTAGATGAAATAAAAAGACAAGTAATGCACACTGAAAATAGATGTGTAAATTGCTTTTGTTTCCTGGATTACTGCATCCCCCTAAATTGGAAGCCAGATAATGGTTTATTGAGTATTTACATCAGTCAAAGCAGGTGCATATGGTTATCAAAATTATCCAGAAAGCATATACATATCTTGCTGTGGTAGTCAAAATAAGGTCTCACTAAGTCACTTAGCCTGAGCATGCAAGATACAGAAAATGTTTTTTGTTCTTGGTCTGCAATACTTTGTCTTAATATACTGTTCAGTAGCACCTGTACACTTAAAATGGCATTATATTAAGAAATTGACTCTTCCCATCCCTCCTAGCTACACTGTAACTTCAGGATGATAAGTGATTTGGTTTATGGTTATTTGATTTACAATACAGCAAAGAAACATGAAGATACTTAAAAAAGTTTATGGAATATGTATGGATTTTCAATATAAATGTATTTTATGCTATCAAATTAGAAATTCATGTATAGTTTTTTCATAATATAGATTGTCCATGAATTTTTTGAATACCCCCCCATCGACTAAATACATAAATAAATAAATAGGCACTAAAATCAAATGAAGTATTTTGCAATTCAACAGAGCATGCCAGCTGGAGGAAGCCAGCTGTGGGTAGTGGTGGGTCCTAGTGGATTCTGCAATTTCTTTCTATATACATTCCTGCCAATCCCTTCCCATTCCAATTTTCCTCCTTGGATGAAAGTAGCTAGGGTTTTCCTGGCACTTTCCTCATTTTGCTGATTATTGGGAGAAATAATCAGAGCACTGTAGAGTGCTGGAGAACAGTCAATGCAGCTGGAGCTTGTTAAGTGAAGTGGCGAGTAGAGGGATATGTTGTGATCAAGTCCTGGGTATAAAGCAGCAGCTGAGTTGGACACATAAATAAAAATGAAATTCATAATTTTGATAGAAATGCATGATTACTAATGCTTTTAGTTGATTTTTTGTAATCCTGAGTATCAGTATGTATACCAAGATCTTTAAACCACGCAATTTTCATTCAAGTAATATGAATACAATTGACTCATAAGGATACAATTGGATTTAGTACACTCTGAATCAGAATGAGGAAGTAATTATTTTCCAATATTCTACACACATCCCTAACACGTATTTCTAAATTTCTGGGAGATGATATGGAGTATGCCCAGGGGCTAAGTGTAATTTTGAATTTAATGCATTCAAATGGACTCAGCAGTGTCATTATTGTTATATGAGGTACTTTTAAAAACTTGTGTAAAAATAGAATTTAGAGATAAGTTCATTTACATGCAAAAAAATTGAAAACCATTAATATTTTCCACAAAATGCCTTCTCCACGAACATTTTGAAAATGCCTTATAAGCATGGATTTTTTTTAAAGATGTATTTATTTTATTTGAAAGGCAGAGTTACAGACAGCAGAGGCAGAGAGAGAGAGAGAGAGGTCTTCCATCTGCTGGTTCACTCCCCAGATGGCTGCAACTGCTGGAGCTGTGCCAATCTGAAGCCAGAAGCCAGGAGATTCTTCCAGGTCTCTCACATGGATGCAGAGGCCCAAGGACTTGGGCCATCTTCTACTGCTTTCCTAGACCATAGCAGAGAGCTAGATTGGAAGTGAGCAGCTGGGACTTGAAGCGGTGCCCATAAGGGATGCCAGCACAGCAGACAGCAGCTTTACCCACTGTGCCACAGCGCCAGCCCCCATAAGCATGAATTTTAACATCCTTTGAAACAAACTAAATTTATCTTTTATTTATTTTAAAATTCTTTACTTACTTTTATTTGAGAGGTAGAGAGAGAGAGAAAGATTGAGGCAGAGACAGTGACAAACAGGTAGATGGACAGAACTCTACCATGCATGAACTCACTCCCAAAATGCTCACAAGTAGCAGGGCAGAGCTAGGACAAAGCAGGGAATGGGAATGCCATCCAGGTCTCCCATGTGGATGGTAGAAATCCAACTACTTGGGTCATCATGTGCTGGCTGACAGGGAGCACATTAGCAGGAAGCTGGAGTCAGGAGTGGAGATGGGACGGGAATTCAGGTATGCTGATAGAGTGTGTGGGCATTCCATAGGCATTGTTTTAACTGCTACACCATATGTCCTTCCTAACTTAACTTTTAGTTCCATTTTTCCATAAAATTTTTGAAGTCCTCTTGTACATACTATTTACTGTTTATACAGCTTTCTTTCAAAACAGGTATTGAATTTTATTTCTTTTTTTTTTTTTTTGGTATGTGTCTGCACGTCTTCACATATATTTTTATCACTTTTTTTGGTCATGAAAAAACAACATTTATTGGGAAAAAATAAATAAAATTAGGGAATCATTTCCTGTTTATTGATGTTAAAGTTCTTCAGAAAAAATAGTAACATTTGAACTCATCATCCAATCAATCATTCTAATCACACTTTGTTAGGCTTTTATGCTTTTGTTTTTTAAAATCTTAGCTATCTATTTATTCACTCATTTACTTGAAAGGCAGAGAGACAGAGACAGACAGACAGATATAGATCTCCCATTCTCCAGCAACTGCCAAGGCTGAATCAAAGCCAGGAGCTAATCTGGGTCTCTCACAGGGGTGGCAGGGACACAATCACTTGCGCCATCACCTGCTGCTCTCCAAGGTGTACAAGAATCCAGAGCATAACCAGATCGAACTCAGGCACTCCATTGTGAGCTGGCAGCATCGCAAGTGACGTGTTTACTACCAAGTCAAATGCTGGCCCTCGTTCATTGCGGTTTTATAATGAAAGGGTGTTTAATTTTGTCTAACTTATTTTCTTCACCAATTGAGATTGTTTCACTCCTCAAATGCTTACAATAGCTTAGGCTGGGCCAGGCCACAGCCAGGAGCCTTCCCAGACTCCCACTTGGGTATCAGGACACAACTACTGAACAGCCACTTTCTGCCTCCCAGAGGATGCGTTAGCAGGAAGCTGGAAAAGCAAGCAGAGATGGATCTCAAGCCCAGGCACTCTGATACGGTATGCAGGTATTAGAAGCAGCATCTCTATCGTTACAATAAATGTTCTTCCTGTTTCTTTTTAACGTGAGAATTTACAAATATACTTAAGTTTGTCTCTTAGCATGCTTTTGCTGCACCCCACATATTTTATTATGTTGTGTTTTTATTTTCATGTGAAACAAGGAATATTTTGTGTCCTATTTTGTTTTATTCTTTGATACATCAGTTGTTTAAAAGCATGTTGTTAGGGGCTGGCGCCTTGGCACACTGGGTTAATCCTCTGCCTGTGGCGCCAGCATCCCATATGGGCATGGAGTTCTAGTCCCGGTTGCTCCTCTTCCACTCCAGCTCTCTGCTGTGGCCCGGGAGGGCAGTGGAGGATGGCCCAAGTGCTTGGGCCCCTGCACCTGCATGGGAGACCAGGATGAAGCACCTGGTTCCTGGCTTTGGATCGGTGCAGCTCGGGCCGTAGAGGCCATTTGGGGAGTACTTCCAGCTATTGTTGGGTGGAGTGTTCTGTGCATGTCTTTTAGACTCAGTTAGTATTGTTCAAGTCCTCTTGTGACTTACTGTTACATCTGCTGTTATTTCACTATCGAAAATGGAGTAAGAAAGTCTCCTATCATTAATATAGATCTATCTTTTCCTTAAATTCTATACATTTTTGTTTCATATCATTAAATACATTTAAAGATGTGTGTGTGTGTGTGTGTATGTGTGTGTACATGTCGGAAGAAGTGTTTTTTATGACTTTAAACACGTGAAGGATCAGAAAACTTATTCACCACTATAGTGGTCATATAGGTATCTCACTGAAATGTCCCTTCATGTGAACCTGCCTCAGTGAACACTGCCAAGCAACCACACCAGCTGCAGTACCTTTGGACTCATTGCAGTATTCAGTCAGAGAACTCACTTCCTCTAGGCTGTTACCAGAATGTAACTGAGCTTGGAAAGAGTTCTAGAGTAGAGCTATTCCTGGCCAACCTGAGATGCCTCCAGAATGGTTCAAACCTGTAGCCATTCCGATCAGTTCTCTTACCTTCTGTTTCTCCTTTCAAATGCGTCAGACTTGCATCATAGCCTGAAGGTTTTCTTTATATAATCCTACTTCCCCCTCAGTTGAACCTTTATAGGTGTTGCACTCAATGATCTTCATTTGAATACTATTTTGAAGTCTTCTTCTCAGAGGAATTGAACTGACATAAAAGCTCATTCAGAAGTGGTAAAAAAAATAGTAGGTTTTCTATAACTAATAGAATCTTTCAGATGAGTCTTTGACATTTACTTTCCACCATATTGGAAGGAAACCTAAATTTAGCCCTCCATTTCATTTGGAATATTCATTCTACTTAAAGTTTAAATCCTCAGTTAGGAATGCGTAAATAACATCTTAGGGAAGAATTAGTCCCTAGATAAGAAAAATTCCCTATCATCTCTCCTTCCACCCAATTGATGCTGCCTGCATGTGTTTGGACTCTGCTTTTTCTTGTGGAGATTTGGATAATGGAAGCAACATCAGTATTTGTGGTAGTGGTATTATTCGTTAACATTTATTCAAGCTTTCTCTGTGCAAGGTACTACTATGATTCATTTTATCTTTATGATTTCTTAATAAGATACATACAGAAAGAGCTAGCCTGTTTAATGCCCCCCCCATTTATTTCTTTGCAAATTAGAAAAAGGTGGTTGTTCCTCATAAAACTTTATGTCCCCCTAAGAAACTGTTGCTTTACTCTCATTTTCAGAGAAATATATTTTGTCATTTGTTGAAATAAATACATAAACTATGATGTCTATAAAAGGAATGGAGGTTTGCTAGATGCAGCAACCTCATGTAACACACAAACTGGATCACTGTATGGACGTCCTGTGACAGAGACTATTTCCTTATAAAGTGGCATTCGTTCCTTTACCTCCACCTTCTTTCTCACTCGCCACTCCCAGCACTGCTGTTGCTGCAAAGGTGATAAACAGTTGGGAAGTATGATTTTAAAAAGCAAGCAATGAATACCATATCATTACATGGTTTGAAAATATTATGCCAATTATACATGTTTAATTAACTCATTAGTTATGACTTTATGTATGGCTAAATTAAGCATCTTCTTATTTATTAGTCTGCAAGTAGAAATGGTTTAGCTTAGATGAATGTTTGCCTTGAAGGACATTCAAATACAAAGTTAGAACAGTTCCAAAACTAAAAATATGATAGTTCTACTTTATTCAGAATAAATAATGAATGAAATGGGCAGCAAATTTATGCTAGTTATTGAATACTACCATATGTTCTATTTGTGAATTACCAGTATAAAAAGCATTTCAACACAAGTATACTAGATATAATTCATTATGTTTCAGAAGGCACTTCAGTATCTTATATTATTTAAGTCATGTTTAAATATAATAATAATTATACAAAACTATATTAAAATAATACTAGTTAGGAACTGGTGTTATGGTGCAGCAGATTAAGCCACTGCCTGCAATGTCAGCATCCTGAATGTGTGCCAGTTCGAGTCCTGGTTGTTCCACTTCCAATCCAGTTGTCTGCTATTGTACCTGGAAAAGCAGCAGAAGATGGCCCAAGCATTTGGGCTCCTAGACCCATGTGGGTGACCTGGATGGAGTTCTAGGTTCCTGGCTTCGGCTGGTCTAGCACTGGCCATTTGCAGCCACTTGTGGAATGAATTAGTGAATTGAAGACCTTTCTCTTTTCTCTGTTTCATTTTTTCTCTCTTTAACTCTACCTTTCAAATAAAATAAATAAATCTTTTAAAAACACTACTATTAGTTGGATGGCTGCTATAGACTGAATTTTGTGCTCCACAAACTCATATGTTTCACCAATAATGTCCAATGTTACTCTATTTAGAGATGGGGCCTTTAAGAGAAAATTAGTTCTCATATAGTAGGATTGTGGGCTTGTTAAGAGAAATGAGCACTTTGACACTCTCACACATAGAGAGTAGCTGTATGGTGCTGACACTGGCGCAGTGGGTTAAAACCCTGGCCTGCAGCGCCAGCATTTCAGAAGGGCACCGGTTCAAGTTCCAGCTGTTCTACTTCCAATCCAGCTCTCTGCTATGGCCTGGGAAGGTAGTGGAAGATAGCCCAAGTCCTTGAGCTTCTGCACCCACATAAGTGACCTAGAAGAAGCTCCTGGCTCCTGGCTTCGAATCAGCACAGCTCTTGCCATTGCAACCAATTGGGGAGTGAACCAGTGGATGGAAGGTTCTCTCTCTCTCTCTCTCTCTCTCTCTCTCCCTCCCTCCCTCTCCCTCCCTCTCTCTTCCTCCCTCCTTCTCACCCTTCCTCTCTCCCTCCCTCTCTCTCCTCTCTCTGTGTAACCCTGACTTTCAAATAAATAAATAAATATTTTTTAAAAATAAAATATACAGATATATGGAGATGAATAACATGCTCCTGAATAAACAGTGGGTCAAGGAAGAAATCAAAAAGGAAATCAAAAGATTTCTTGTAAGGAAGGAACATGAAAACACAACATATCAAGATATATGGTGTATACCAAAAGCACTGTTAAGAGGAAAGTTTATAGCAATAAGTGCCTACATCAAAAAATTGGAAAGGCATCAAATAAATGATCAAATAGCACATATTGTGGACCTAGAAAAACAAGAACAAACCAAACCCAGAATTAGTAGAGAAAAACACAATAAAAATCAGAGAAGAAGGAAATAAAATACACATTAAAAACAATGTATAAAATATCAGGGAAATGAACAGTTGTTTTTTTAAAAAAGTAAACAAATAGATAAGCCATTGACTCGACTACCCAAAAAAAGGAGAAGACTGAAGTTAATAAAATCAGAGGAGAAAAATGAGATGTTATAACTGATACGACAGAAATAAAAAGAATCATCAGGAATTATTATATAAGGCTATATGCTAACAATTTGGAAAACCTAGAAGAAATGGGAAGATTTCTGGACACCTGCAATTTATGAAAATTGAGGCATAAACACATGGAAAACCTAAATATACCAATAACCAAGGATGAGATTCAATCAGTAATAAAGTGCCTCTCAACAAAGAAAAGCCCAAGACTAGATGGCTTCACTGCTGAATTCTACCAAGCTTTTAAGGAAAAACAAATTCCAACCATCTTAAAAAGCATTCAAAAAAATTAAAAGGGAGGAAACCTTTACAAACGCATTCTATGACTTCAGGATAACTTTCATTCCAAAGCCAGAGAGAGATCCAAC